ACCTTCCATAAGGAATAAAATCCATAACAAGAATAAGAAATAACGCAAAAACAGTGGAGCCGGGTAAGAACGTGACCGACCGCCATTCCTAATTTATGCAAATTACTGCGCTCATGAAGTGAAATTCTTCTTATTTTGCTGATTTGTGACGTTTTGTGCTATTTTTGGTTATTTCGTTTGTTTGGTTCACCTTGAGAATCTAATAACCTTGACCGCGCTCACGCTTGTCATTGTCCTCTAACTGAATTCAGGTGGGTATGTCAAGTTAAAGATAGCACAGGCGGTAACGAATTAGACTATCTCCTCCTGAAACCAAAATATTGACCTGTGCGGCATTAATTTTTTTTTTTTTTTGCACGAGGATAGGAAGTTAAGTTCAGCTTTTATATCAAGGACATTGCACTAAGGTAAATAGCTTCAGCTCTTTCTGTGTGTTACCCCGTTAAGATGCCAGGCTAAGCTGGGTTGTAACTGCAGTTGTATCTCGGCTAGGTACCTTAATGTCACGGTCTGGCATGGAATTCCTTCCGTCAACTGACACCATTTGAAGGTAGTTCTTCGTAGACCCTTGAGCTAAAACCGTTAAGTTAAGGGCAGAAGCCTTTCTGTGAGCGTGGTTTGTGCAGCTTTTACCCTGAGAGCAGTTTTCATTTGAGTGTCGAAAAGCCAAAACCAAAGTTATTGCAACCACTAATCTTAACAAAGGTTAACATCATCATTAACCAATGAGAACTCCAAAATAAATACAGGCAACCTGCTCGAAGCGCGGGAAAACGCGAGTAACCGAGTTGGGATTGGTTTTTAGTTTTGCAATTGATTGGTTGAGAGAGTGGCACGAGTTTTCTAATATAAACCAATCACAGAGCCAAGCAAAACAAAACCAAAGCAAGCAGGATTATTTTTGATACTTAATTGAAACTGCACTAGTTCCCGTATCGCTCAGAGCTTTGGAAAAGCAAAACCGTATTCACGCAATCACGGATTTTTTTTCGAAGCTCAGTTCATAATTACTCCGGTACATCTTAATGAGATTTAGAAGTAGAATATATTTAGAATATATTTCGTTAAACGAGTTTTACTTTTGAATAAAGGCTGATAGTTTCGAAAGAAACTGTTTGGGGCTGCGTCGGTGGGAGTAACGCAATAATTTGGATATATCAACAAAGTTGAAATGGTAAATTGGCCACCGTAACGATTACAAAAGCTGACGTTTCGAGCGTTAGCCCTTCGTCGGAGCGAATAGAGGAATTGTGGGTTGTGTGTGCTTTTAAAGGCAGAAAATGGAGCTACGTTATTAGTGGGAACATGGCAACGAGAAAAACACGAATAAATTAGTGGAATGAAAAGCGTTCGTTGATCCCTGTGGGATTTAGACTGCCGGTTTGAAAAATGAGCTTTTGTTCAAGAGATTTACTTTTGTCTGTCAATTTTATGTGTAAACTTTGTACTATCAAATTTTGTTTCGCGGGGCTCTCTTTAAACTGGCTATGCTAAATGTGATGTCCCTGTTTAAATATTGTTTAAATAAATAAATAAACAAAGTATACAAGTTTACCCTTTATTTCAGGGGAGGTCACGTCCTTATTGCATCATAAAAAAAAAAGCCTTCTTGTAATGTGCATATGCTGTCCTTTAGTGCCTTTTTAAGGCATCTTCTCAACTGTTGAGTGTTTCACGAACAATTCGTCGGCCTATTTACACTGATTGTCTCCAAGCTGTTTAAATACGTCTTGTCTGTTCCTTGCAGATGGTTAGCCTTTGACCAAGGTTGCTAGTTCGAGCGCTTTTTCGTAACAAGGTGGTGGTGTTCTGGGGAATTCTTCCAGCAACGCATGGTCCACGTTCACGGTTGAACTGACCTCGCAATTATTTTGAATAGCAGTGAAATAATCTGGCAAATCTATTGACGAAGAAGGACCATCCCATGGCCGACGGTGTGGAATATGATTTTTAATCAAGACTGGAGTCGGAGATTTTTCTAAGTCTGCAACTGGAACTCGAGATATTGCAGCTTGAAGATTAGAAATGGTTCCTGTCTTTCTTACATAAACCAACATCACCAGTGTTGTCACTCCAATACAAAGCAGAAAAATAGCAGCAACCCAGTAAACAGATGCTACTAAGGAGTTAGGCGAACTGCATTCAGCGCAAAGTAAAACAAATATGAGAACCAGCGCGGCAGTGGTCGCTGTGAAACAGAAAATTACCAATCCAACCGTAACTGCCAAGAGGAACTTTTCATGACACTTTAAAAACGACGGTGCCCCTTGACTCCTTTCTGTCATTATGTAATCGCTCGTTAGGTTGAAATAGGTCGGTAATGACTTCGAATGAAAATTTTCTTCCTTCAGATGTGAAGTGAATGATGAACCAAGTTGTTTATGTTAAAATAGGGGTAAGCTCATCTGCTATTAAGACTTCCTTCACATGTGTACTTCCGACACCATAGGAAGAGTCGGGTTTGGGTTGAACGGAAATACGTCATCAATTCTTTGTGTCAGCACCTTGGAACATGCCTAAGGGACCAATCATTATTTGTCGCCTAGGGGGAGGAGGTTTGGAGAATTTTGGTTCTGTCACGATAGAATTTACTCGATCTCCCCTCAAGGCTTAGTGTTATGACCTCAATTCTAATGATCTCTCCCTCATTTCTATTTAATTGGCGGTCGATTTTCAATAAACCCACCATTATAATCCGTTGGCAACGACTGATCCCCCCGCTCTCCATGAAAACCATATGAGATCTCCCCTCAAAATCCTCCATCCCCCCTCACCCACCGTGACAAAAATTTATGACTGATCTCTAAATTTCAAAGTGCAAGTCGGTCGTTTGCAATTCGCATCAATTTTATCCGTCTTCAGGCTCTCTTTTTCATTTTAGGTTTATTCTTTCTACTTTGCTAGTTTTTCTCCTTTCCAAAATTATTATTCATTTTTCTCTTCTCGTTGAAGTTATTTTGCTCCTCACAATAGAAGAATCGAAATCTACGTGAAGCAGCTTCCTAAACCGAGAACAGTAATCGATCCTTTTTCCTGGCACAATATTATTCTTTCAGCCTTCCTCTTTCCGCTTAGTCTCCAGTTGCAACCGTTGCTTGATCTCGTCTGCAACACGTTCTCTTCCCAAACTGATGTTAACGGCTGCGAGAGAGAATTGTGTCTAAAAAACCCGTTAGGGAGGAGAAGCCACCGTTGCAGTGACCAGCTACCGCTGGCCCTTGAGCTCAAGCTTTGTGTTCGCACGATCGATCACACACTCGTAGAATATCTCTAAAGGTACCTTTCCGTGACCCGTGGCCTTGGCGTAAAAACAAACCTTAGATTTTTCCTCTTTAGTATGGTGATAATTCTATTTGTTATTCCGTGAAATACAAGCTGTAATTAGTGGCCAAATGGAATTAATACGTCTGCAACACGTTCTCTTCCCAACTGACGTTAACGGATGCGACAGATAATTGTGTCTGAAGAAACATGAGAGAAGTAAAGTTGGCGTGGCTAGACTCGGTTACCACTGCCGGGATCGTGAGCTCAAACTCTTTAATCGTGAGATCGATCACAAACCGATAGAATATTCAGTTCTAAAGGTAACCCCGTGACCCGCGGTCTTAGAACTGAATATTCTATCGGTTTGTTATCGACCTCACGATTAAAGAGTTTGAGCTCACGATCCCGGCAGTGGTAACCGAGTCTAGCCACGGCATAAAATCAAACCTTAGATTTTTCCTCTTCAGTGTTACGATAAATCTATTTTGTCATCCCGAGAAGTACTTCCTGTGAAACCTAACAATATTACAAGCTTTTATGAGTAACTTTAATGACCTCGTGATTACGTCATTCGGCCATAGCGCTGTTGCATCGTCATCCTGCTGAGGAACAATCCGGAAGAAGTTTAATTAGCTATCTAAGCTAGGTGCCTGACAAGCTCCATAAATTTCGAGTATAAATAAATCTACTACATCTACTACTACTACTACTAAAAAAAACTCACGCTACTGAATTTTTTAATCATGTGGATCGAAAATACTGAAAGTTCAAACGGTAAACGACATGATTTACTTCTGAGGCGTTATCCAGCCAAATTGTTTTAATACAATGTCCTGTGATAGATTTGAGTATTCTTCCGCTTAATCAATGCTTGCGCTTTCGGTTTTGTGGCTGGCGCTTAAGGTTATTGCACTAAGGTTAACCAAATTAGTACCCATACAGCCGCAAAATTCAGCTGTCATCTAGCCACCCACATGGTATAACAAACCACGCCTATTGGCCCCTTTCGTTACAGAGCTGTCAGTATCATTGTCAACTCGTTAGTAGGCCCCTAATGACCGGAAAATACTGTCTTGTGTTTCACGTGAAAATGTTTCGATTATCAATTAGGTAAAACTCGCCTGTGATCAAGGTTTTCCTTTTCGTTTGGGATTTGGTTTGCGTACTCACCCCCTTCTTAGTTTGTTTCACGGTTTGTTTCTTCGTATCGTTTGATTGCGGGCTCTTAAACAAGTAGCGAAACTTGTGTGGTGTAAGTCCAACTGTTACGTCTACACGCCCCCTGACCATCGAGTGTGTAGTCTAAGCTGTTTTGCACGTTTTCTTGCTAGTATATCTGTGTAATATCTTATTATTTGTTCGGTGGATTTTCATTTCGAATGCCTTTATTTCAAGTCTTGCCATGTAGAAGTTTACAGTTAACAAGACAACGCTAGAATGAATCACATATGTGAGCTGTTCGAGAAGCTCAAACGTGATGTTGGAGACACGAAAAAGCTCGATTTGGGAGTTGTCGATTCCATATTCCGCGCCCTTCAGAATAAGAACGGTGAGATAATTTTCCTGTTTTTTTTTCCCTTTTCTTTGATGAAACGTTCGGTTAACCGTACGATCGGAGCACGTTATTGCATGTAGAGAACGTTAGTGTTTTTAAATGATATTTTGAAATGTCAACGCCTATTCCTCTCCTTTGTGGGGTGGGGGTATGTTCCACTTGCCAATTAATCCTGTCATAATGTTTTTATTTGTAGAAAAGTTTGATGAAGTAGCAATCAAACGTATTCTTGACGTTGTCGTCACATTGCTGAAAGTTGATCCACCTGAAGACAGAGCAAAGGTGTTAATGCTTATTGCTGAGATTGCAAAATCAGGTAATACAGAGAAAAATGATCTAAGTTAACCCTTCAAATCCAAACATCTGATCGTTAATTCTCCCTTCTAGCTACTATGCATTTCCTCATAAATTAGTTACAAGAATTTGGTGTTAGATCAACTTTGGTAACAAGTTTGGTGTTAGATCAAGATAACAACTTCAATTCTACCTGATAGACTTGAGTATTCTCAATACCTGTGTGCTGGATAATGTATGGATATTATGGGGAGAAATTACATGTTAATCACTTCTGGGAGCTAAAGGGTTGGAAGGTAGATTAGGAAATGAAACTTGTCAATGCACTGCCATGTTCATAGTCTTAGTGAGGTCTTTGCATAGTTTTCATGGGCAGGACAGTTTCCTTTCTTGCCTCTCTCAACCACTGGGGTAGTGGTAGGGAAGAAAATTGTCATTGAACATAGGTTGCATACATTTGATAAAAGTTCACTAAATTCTTAGAAGAAGTGGAGAAAGGAATGTGTGGTATTTCTCTGGAGAGTCCATTTCCAGATCTTGGGAGTGGTAAATGTCATACCCAAGGGTTTGGATGACAGTGCCAATGTCTAAATGGCAATTGCAGCTGGAGCAAACCTGACAAATTATTGCTTTTTAATTTATATTTCCAGAAGAAACAAGAGTTCCTTGTGTAAGTGCAGGATTGATAACTACCATCTTATCACATCTTGAAATTGATGATCCAAATGTTTTACTACAAGCTTTGAGGGCGGTTGGAAATATCAGTGCTGAAAATGGTAGGTAAAGGTTGGCAGAAATATGACTTTGTACTTCAAGACAAGCAAAGCAGGGTGGCCTCATGGTTAGTGCGCTAAACTCCGGATCCAGTGGTTCCGGTTCAAGCCCTGGTTGGGGAAACCTTGGGCAAGACACTTTACTCTCACAGTGCCACTCGATCCGGCACTAACAATGAGACCACTGAGCCTCCTTAGGAGGGGTGGCTGGTTGACTTGATCAAACTCAAATTTATTTTATATGATGAAACGCTTGACAGGACATAGTTGGATAGGAGGGGTGGTAAAGGTAAAAAGGTAAAGCCTACTTACGAGCCATGTGGCCCATTGGACTGGCAATTAACTGCAGTTTCCGTAGCATGAAGCGGCTAGGAGTAATTCTATCCCCCCCCCTACCTGATGGGATCCTAGTCCATTGCAGGGTTACCCCCAGCATTAAATTTGCTGGTACCCTTTTAATTCTTCTGAGTGAAGAGAGGCACTGTGAGAGTAAAGTGTCTTGCCCAAGGACACAACACAATGTCCCTAGCCAGGTGTTTAAATGGGTACTAGCAAATTTACTACTGGGGGTAACCCTGCAATAGACTAGCATTCCATCCAGGGACGAGTAGTTAAAACTCCTAGTTGCTTTATGCTATAGACTTGGCTTGTAAACAGACTTTACCTTTTACCTTACTCTGTGATAGATTAGAACCCAGCAATTACTGATAACTGATTGCTTTAACTATTTCACTCCTAAGAGTGACCAGAAGGAATTTCTCCCAACATGATAAATATGTGTTACAAACAGAAAGGTTGGGAGAAGAAGTAACATTATCAACTTGTTATTCACCAGCCGGGAGGTCGGTATTGGGAAAAACTGTGCCCGAGGTCTTGGATATTAAGTACCGCCCGAGGCCTCGGACAGTACTCAAGACAGAGGGCACAGTTTTTCCCAATACGGACTGAACTATGCTGGTGAATAACATTTTTATTTTTTTCTAACACATAACAAAATGATTGCTCAAAGAACTTGAATGATTTAGGGCTGCAATTACGAGTTTAATTACGGCAAAATCCTCCATAACCTTAAAATTTGTTAGCGAGTGGATGATGCAGAATACAGATGTTATTCAAATTAAAGAGAAGGCTTTCACCAAAATATTTTTCATCTGTAAATGTAACCTGAAAAGGCTTCTGAGCAAACTTTGAAACATTTTTTGACAAGTAACTGTCACCATGTGACACTAATACTAATACTAATACTTTATTTAACGTGGAAATACGCTTAGCTTAAGAGGTAGTTTACAGGTATTCCACCTAATACCTAATGAAAACCTAACAGCTAACCTAACAGCTAACATCGCTAATATCACAGCGGGTAAAATCACAAATTAAATACTGATTAAAAGCTTTTTAAAACTGTTATTACAATATTACCGCCGCAATAAAAATACTATTAAAACTAAGGTTACAAATCTACTAGTCCCCGAATTTTAAGGTTGTAATTCTGTTTACTATTTCTTTGGTGCCCACTTTTATTCTAATGTCATTTGAGAGTTCATTCCATTTCTTGGCTGCAAAATATCTCCATTACTTGAGTCCATATTTGGTAGTGTTAACTTTAGGTAAAGACAAAACATATTCTTGGCGCCTGAGATTGTACTTAAATGAGCGTAAGTTAATAAGATTCCTAATTGCCTGTGGTGCTTTGTTTGATATGCTCTTATGTATTGTCAGTAACATGTCTTGAATTCTTCGAGATTCCATGGAGCAAGGGTAGTCTTATCTTATCCAAGAGATGCTGATAAGATGTATGTTTATCATTATAGATATATCGCAACGATCTTTCATTGACTTTTTAGATTTTTGCAGTGTTTCTTTTCCGCAATTGTGCCAAACTTGGTTGCAGTAATAAAAATTCGGTAGTATGAAGGAACGGTATAACGATTCCTTGGTTTTAAGTGGTAAAATATTTTTCAGTCTATTAAGCGAGTTTATTTGAGCACTCACTTTGCGGCAAATACTCGAAACTTGATCGTCAAATTTAAGCTTACTATCAAGTACACCCCCCAAGAGGTTAGTCTTTTCTGCGGTTCTGATATCAATTTTACCCGATTGAAGGAGTAGCTTATCTTCTGTTCTGCCAAGGACCATAGCTTGGTACTTTTCCGGATTTGGTCTCATGCCATTTTGAATAATTGACACCTGTCAATTGAAGAAGAAGAAAAGTGTACGCTTTTGAATAAACAACAGTACTGGTGTGACAGACACACACGAGTTAAATGACAATGCGATGATCTTCTCGTTAAAGACACAAGGGGATTTAATGTGACTTTTGTTCATCAAATTCCTCCGGTTTCTGATGAGAAATTTATGGTAGAAATTTCCAAATTCAAGGGATTTGCAAGTCTAGGTAAAAGCATATTTATAGAAGAACTCAAAACTTCGCCTAACGTTTCACAAACGAACAAATTGTGTTGAAGAATTCAGATATTAATGAATGAGAATCACATTGATTAACATAATTGTTAGCTGCAACCACCTCTCGTTGTAACTTTCTGAATTACTTTTTGTGAAGGATTATCTAATAAAAGATTTTTTTAGGCCACGCTTCGATCCTTTTAAAAACAAATGTAGTACTACCAAATTTATTTCGAGATCAATTTTCGCAGAAAAACCATAGTGATTTGAGAGTGAGAGAGAAGAAAGAATGAATATCATTTATCGCCAAAAGGTAGTGACCGAAGTCTTTGCTCAAAAATTCTGGCCGGCCGGCAAAATGAGGTATATTTGTGAAAACCTACAACGAAGCATGTTATGTTCTACAAAGTGATTCAAGCAGAATGGATACCACCCGCTGTGAGCGGGCCGGATGGGGAGAATACTGCCCGCTCTCGGAACCAATCAGATTGCAGGATTTGTAGAATACTGCCTGCCCACGAACTGAGAAAAAAAATAAATTTATGTATTTGTTTATAGAACAAGCCAAGGCTACTTTGCTGGAAAACAAAGGAGCAGAGAAAATTGTAAAGAAGCTGGGAGTTCTTGAAAAAAGCTTTGATGAGAAAAGTGACAACAGACTTGAGTTGGCAGCATGTGGATCCATGCTTAATGTAGCTATTGATGATGGTAAGTCTCTTCTAATACAGTCAGACCTTGATTATCCGGACTTGTTGGAACTAGACAAAATACTCCAGATAATCGAGGGTCCAAATGATCAAGAATACAAATATAATAAGGAACAAAAACTGATTGAATTAAGAAAGCAACATTTAATTAATTGTGAAACAAAACATTTACAATTGTATTGAAAAAAAAAATGGTATATGTTGTCACGGTCTATTGTGAATACCTCTACATGTGTGTATTAACAATTAAAATTAGTGAAAATTTTGTCTTGAAGAAGAACATTGCCTTTACTTCACTTTTCAATGCTGTAGTTTTTAAAAGAATGGGCTTCGGATCTTGATCACGACTAATGAATATTCATGACAAAAGTGGGACCAGAGAAAAAGTCCGGATAATCGAGAAATCCGGATAATCAAGGTTCAACTGTGTTCTCCTAGAGGATCTACAAACTGTGGGAGACCCTGTGGGGGAGAGTTGGTGGCTAAATGGTTAGTGGGCTGGACCCTAGGTGAAGAGGCCAGGGTTCTAAACTCGGCTGGGTCATTGTTTTGAGTTCCTGGGCAAAACACTTTACTTTCACAGTGCCTCTGACTGTTCTCAGAAGTAGTAATAATAATAATAATAATAATAATAATAATAATAATAATAAAAATAATAATAATTATTATTATTGTAATAATACTAATGAGCATTTCTATAGTGCCATATCCTATAGCTCATGGTGCTTTACAACACTTTCTGGGGGATTTTGAGTGAACTGCATTGAGCAGTGAATAGTTTTTGAAGGAAATTTTTGCAGATGCTCCTAAAATCAGAATCAAGGCCAGACCACAACAGTGGGAGCTATGTTCCTTACTCTTTGCAATAAGGGTCTGGATTCTTTTACGTTCCCTGCTAACCAGTGAATTGTCAGGGAAACATGATGAAATACCAAAGATAACCAGATAACAGTAGTCTGGCATCTCATCCAGGGGATGGGGCAGTGCAGTAGGAATACCCCTGATCACCTCATGTTATGGAAACTGGGATAAGGTCCAGCTGGATGGGCTACTTGGCTTAACCCCTTAACTCCCAGAAGTGATTAACCTGTAACTTCTCCCTGTAATATCCATACATTACCCAACAAAAAGGTCATGAGAATTTCCAAACTTATCAGAAGTTGTTACCCTGATCTAAAACCAAATTCTTGTAACTAATTTACAAGGAAATGTGTAACTGCTAGTGGGGTGAATTAACAATCAGATCTTGGGAGTTAAAGGGTTCTTACAGATGTTCATATATCATCTCAGTGTTAATGTCAGTTATTGACCGTACTCACTGTTGCAGAGGCGCTAACAGCAGAAGCAGTTTCATTTGGGGCAGTGCCATTTTTATTGAGCTTCATTAAACAGAGTCTTCAGTGTAATCCAGCTCTCTGTCGAATGGCCTTATCAGCTATGTCTGTGCTCACATGTTCAGGTAATGGAAATGGTTGATGCTGAGCTCTTAACTCTTAGACTCCTGAGAGTGACTAGCCACTAAATTCTCCTTACAATATAATTCCTGAATCACACATTGAGGTTGTGAGATTATAGAAAATGATCATCAACAAAAGAAACTCTTGATTGCTTAACAAATTCTTCTCGTCAGCACCTTAGGAAATGTATATTTTGTCTCTCGTTTGACCTTATTTGGAGATTTCTTATGATTATAATGAATTAGTTTTTATATAATTTTACTTACATATAATGCAAAGAGAAAGGAAAAGAGAGCTTTATGGAGAGTGGCGGCGTGGCTACTTTATCAAAGACGATGAAAGAGTCAGATGACGATGAGTTGGTTGACTCTGTGCTTGAAATTTTTACATCCCTCATTGCAGATGGTAAGTCCAGTTTTAAATTAAACAAGATGTAGAGGGGGGGGATGTGATAGATGCATTGGTTATCACCCTCAGTCACCCTGGTTGTATGTGTAAAAAAATAAATTTAATGTTGACGGAGTACAAGCCTCCTGGGTAGACCTTCTTTTGGCCCATCATGTAAACTTTTTCTCGTCAGTGGCCAAAAGTGGCTAGAAAAAGACGCAAAAAAAAAAAAGAAAACGGAAAAAAACAGAAAGAAAAGGTTAGCACGATGAGATTTTATGTGGTGTCACTCATCCACGTAGTAACCCCATGTGACAGGGCTTAACTTCATTGAGAAGCAAAAGCACACTGTTAATTTTCATATCCAACCACAATAACACTTACAAGCAAATTTTTAATGTGTCCTGCCAGGGGCGTCCCAATGACCCTTGAGCTTTTCCTTATACAAAATAGAGATATCTTAAAAGCGAATAATTGAGATATTTCTTATTAATAAGTAAAAGTAATTTTCCCTTAGACAATGTGAAGAAGGTGCTGGTGCAAGAAGGATTTGCAGAACATTTGGCTAATGTTGTGTCAACGTCGAAAGATGCAATAGGAGATGAGATTTTGAAGCACAGGACACAATCTGCAGCTGACATGATAGTAATGCTCCTCACTGAAGGTGAGTTAGTTGTTACTGTCCATGTTTTTATTTTGTGATTGCAACTTTTTGTGGACAGAGTCTCTCATAGGAGGGAAAGTTGTCAAGTGGTTCAGGGTTTCATCAGAATATAAAATTATTTTTCTCCTTTTAGTGGTTATAATTATGTTGTTTTGTAGTTCATTTATTCTTTGAACTGTGTGGAGGTGTGGTGGCCTCATGGTTCGTGCGCTCGACTCTGGATCGAGTGGTCCGGGTGCGAACCCCGGCCGGGACATTGTGTTGTGTTCTTAGGCAAGACACTTTACTCTCACAGTGCCTCTCTCCACCCATGTGTTTTAATGGGTACCGGCAATTTAATGCTGGGGGGTAACCCTGCGATGGACTGGCATCCCATCCAGGGGGGAGTAGAAATACTCCTAGTTGCTTCATGCTACAGAAACCAGAGTTAAGCACTGGCCTAATGGACCACTAGACTCGTAAACAGACTTTACTTTACTCTACTTTTTACTATTCTTTGAACTGAAGCCAAATTTACATTTGTCTTCTATTTACAGATAACAGCATGAAAGGACTCTTCAATGATGGCAATGGTTCTGTCTACAAGACCTGTGTGTCCTGGCTGTCGTCAGGCGATGAGTATCTGGAAATCTCTGGTTGCCTTGCTATTGGCAACTTTGGACGAACAGGTGAGGGTCCCAAATAGCAGTACAGTATGTGGAGGCAGCTAGTGTGGCAGGGTGGCTAGGGTGCTCGACTTGTAATCTGATGGTCTTGGGTTCAAGCCCCCTATCCTACTACTCTTTGGATTTGTTCTTGTTTACCCAAGGGGACCCATTTTTTATACATTGTCTGGCCCTGGCCAGGTGGGATTTATAATTATTTCTGTTTGTTTCCGGTGTTTGTTTCCAGTTTGTTAGTTTGCTTCGGGTTTGTATGTTTGTTTTAGGTTTATATGTTTGTTTCAGGTTTGTTTGTTTGTTTGTTT